AAACATTTTCAGACGCTCGTGAACAGATGTGATTTGAGGCAATGTTACATGAGGTCGGGAAAAAACAACACATCAGAGGGGCGTCAGGCCGCCAAGGGCACAGGGTTTCTTTCTGCATTGCTGGGGGACAAATATTAAAGACTCAGTGTAGGATTTATGATATGATTTATAATATAATAAGTGTGATTTCTCCAGTGTATAATCGCCTGAAAATAAGAACTGTTGTGTTTTTGTTCTCTTAGATTGAGGCGTTTATATCTACATAAAGACCAGGTCCTGGTTTATTGAGATCGCCATGTTGCACTGCCATGTTTCTACAGTAGCCCAGAACGGACAAACTAAACACTGGCTCCAGAAAGGGACATGTGTGCTTTTGCATGAGGGCCGTCTATAACGAGCAGCGTTGGAGTTACACTGATTTGTGATGCTTTATTCAGTGTTTTTACGAGTTTAATTCACCTGGTCTGTTTGAGGAGAAGACCTCTATGGATTATTCAACTTGGAAAGGAAACTTCCTAAATGTCCAGATGAGAAAAGGGTGAGCACCATCTGTCTCCAAAGTGCCAAATAGCATCAGAGGAACGCTGATTGGTTACATGAAAATACTTTATTGAGTGTTTTAAGGTGTTAAGGCCCGAACATAATCTGGCGTACTACTCCACGAGGAATGTCCGCAGTCATTCAGGCTTTCATAGTCGAGCACACTTCCACGTTGTACTTTCCTGTAAAAATGTCTGTGAAAAATCCCCGCGATGTGAAAAATACATGCCGAGCAGTCACTGGTGTGCGGAGCGGAGTCCGTGCGGTCGTAAAATCTGAGTTTTGGAGAGGAAGAGATGTTGGTGGATAATTCAGCTCATAGATTAAACCTCCTGAACAGTGAAAACTAAAGGAGCTCTAACCAGGATACGTTTCAGCTGGTTGCATTCTGCATTTCACCATGAACCACCACTAAATCCCCCCAAATCTTACACACTGTTCCTTTTCACTGTAGAATCTGAGACTCCAAACTTTGAGTGTCAGACACTTGATTTCCTGCATCCTGCTGAATGATAATTTATGGCGGAAACATCTTTCTTAATGTAAAGAATTCAAAACATAAGAATATAATGAGATATAATGCAGTGAGGCTTTCAGGCATTATTCATGTGATCTCTGCTGAGTCAACACATGTATGTGTGATTTACTTTGCAGTTTCTATTATGTGGGGACGTAGCCTTTTTAAATGTGCTAACATTATATGTTTTCATGTTCACAAAGAAAGAATAAAAAACTTGGACAAGAAGAAACTGTGTCAAGAAGTTGTTAAAGTCACTGATCAGCACATTTTTGGGTCATTTTAGAATCCGTAGTTTTTTGTTTTTTTTCTTTTGCTTACTTTGGACGATGCACATTTGTTTCCTCTACACGTCATGTGTTTGTCAACATTTCTTGCTGTGAGCTATTTTTCTGAATATTTTTTAGTTCAAGAAATTATGCTTTTATAAAGTTTTTCTTTCACCAACATTCAAGCTACTGTTTGTTCAACAGTTTGTTTTAATTAATATCAGTTCACATCTTGTGACCTGCACTGAGCAGTTTCAGTTTTTGGCTCAGTTTGTCTGTCAGCAGAATCACTACGACCAGTTTTCATGGAACGTGGTGGAGGGGTGCAGCCTGGGCCAAAGAAGAACCCAGTAAATTATATAGTGGATCTAAACCACAGAACGGATACACACATTATTTTTCACTTTCCTTAAAACTGAGAGATGGTGCATTTGGCCTGAGCAGAGATCTGAACTCTGTGAGTCCCCTTTGATGTAAAGCTGGGTAGGCAGTTTTATTTTGACGTCACTGATCACATATTAATTCAAGTCAGCTGGGAGAAAACTAGACGTCTGCGCCTCCTGTTGGCTCTGCTTTCAGGCTTTAGAAAATCTAGTGCATGACGGGAGACTTTGGCTAATCACAGATTATTTCAGAGAGGGGGGCGTTCCTATCAGCTGTTACACAGATGCAGATGCACGTGCACGTCCCTGATGGTGAAAGTCTGATTCAGTGTCCAGCAGAGAAAACACTGGCAACAACTGTCTACACTGCAGAGCAACCCAAAAGAGGAAAATGAACTTCTCAAAGAGTCGGACAATAAATGAAATACAACTTGTATCAGTATTGACGAAATGTTTCTGAGATGGAGAGAAACTGGGGCTAATAGCTCAGCCACAGCTGCAGCTTCATGTTTATATGGCTAGCATTAGCTAGAGCCTAGAACCTGGGTGTCCTCTGCCTCACGCCGCACCACTACAGACCATCTTAGCAGGAGGAGAGCAGCAGCAGCTCTAGAGACGGACCCCCAGTCACAGCAGCAGCAGCGACTAAGGTCCCATTTATACGACAGCGATTTCAACTGAAAATGGTTTAGCTGCGTTTTGGCTGATCGTTTACACAACAGCGGCGTTTTGGGTGCCTGAAAACGCAACATTTTGAAAACGGGTTCCAGAGTGCAATTTTTTGGAAACAGCACCGTCTGTCGTTTGCGGTTCCGTGTTTTTTAAAGCGCAGACTTTTCTGTTTTTAGAGAAACCGTTGTCGTCTAAACAGGGCCTAAATCACGCCAGAGCAAGGCCCAGGTGTGGGGGGCTCACAGCTCAGCAAACTTTCTTTCTGATGCTGCTGTTCACACAGGTTAGACCCACCCTCAGCCCTCTGTGACATCTGGTGCTGGGGGGTTTGAGCTGCACAAATTCAAGTTGCAACAGCAGCCGACTGAAGTACGTCTCCAAAACTGCTGCCCGCTCCCTTCCCTGGGAGGCAGGCCACAGTGGCGAGGAGCGAGGTGGAGGGACTGAGAGGTCGTCAGGCAATTCTTGTCTCATTGATCATCTGACTCTTCAGTGAAATAAAGTTTAATAAAATAAATCAACATAGAAACATTGGGTCACTGTATGACATGCGTGTATATGACTGTGGTCGTCTGGTGGGAGGGGCTTAGGACAGAGAGGAGAAAGCTGCAGGAGGGTGTGTCTTCAAATTCTGCCTTTTATTTATTAATTTATTTGCCTTTTACAGATTTCTGCCAACCCCAGCTTTAATGCTGCATTTAGAGGGTTCAGCACCAAATGTTCACGTGTTTATTCTGAAGATTAGAAACTGTCTCTACTGTGGACTAACTGTGGTTTTACAAAAGCCAACAGAGGTCCAGAGTTGAACAGGACGTTGTGCAGTATCACTTACATACAGTCAGGTCCATAATTATTTGGACAATGATACAGTTGTCATCATTTTGGCTCTGTACACCACCACAATGGGTTTTAAATGAAACAATGAATACCTGCTTAAAGTGCAGACTCTCAGCTTTCATTTAAGGCTTTTTTCAAAAATGTAGTATGAACCGTGTAGGAATGACAAGCATTTCTTCACACAGTCCCCCGACTTTAAGGGCTCATAAGTATTTGGACAAACTAACATAATCATCAATTAAACAGTCAGTTTTAATACTTGGTTGCAAATCCTTTACAGTCAATGACTGCCTGAAATGTTGGACACATAGACATCAACAGATGCTGGGTTTCTTCCCTGGTGATGCTCTGCCAGCCCTTTACTGCAGCCGTCTGCACTTCCTGCTTGTGTTTTGGGTGTTTTGCCCTCAGTTTTGGCTTCAGCAAGAGAAACGCATGCTCAGTTGGATTCAGGTCAGATGATATGACTTGGCCATTGCACAACATTCCACTTCTTTGCCTTAAAAATGTCTTTGGTTGCTTTTGCAGTATGCTTCAGGTCAATGTCCAACTGCACTGTGAAGCATCGTCCAATGAGTTTTGAAACATTTAGTTGAATCTGAGCAGATAATGGTGCCCCAAACACTTAAGCTTTCATCCTGCTGCTCTTGTCAGCAGTCACATCATCAATAAATACAAGAGAACCAGTTCCACTGGCAGCCATACATGGCCATGACATAACAGTACCTCCACCATGCTTCACTGATGAGGTGGTGTGCTTTGGATCATGAGCAGTTCCTTCCCTTCTTCCTTCTCTTGTCTTCCCATCATTCTGGCAGTTGATCTTTGTTTTATCTGTCCATAGTATGCTGTTCCACAACTGTACAGGCTTTTTAGATGGTTTTTGACAAACTCTAATCTGGCCTTCCATTTTTAAGGCTAACCAATGGTTTGCATCTTGTGATAAACCCTCTGTATTTATTCTAGTGAAGTCTTGTCTTGCTTACAAGAGCAGCAGGATGAAAGCTGAAGTGTTTGGGGCACCATTATCTGCTCAGATTCAACTAAATGCTTCAAAACTCATTGGACGATGCTTCACAGTGCAGATGGACATTGACCTGAAGCATATTGCAAAAGCAACCAAAGACATTTTTAAGGCAAAGAAGTGGAATGTTCTGCAACGGCCAAGTCATATCATCTGACCTGAATCCAAATGAGCATGTGTTTCTCTTGCTGAAGCCAAAACTGAGGGCAAAACACCCAAAACACAAGCAGGAAGTGCAGACGGCTGCAGTAAAGGGCTGGCAGAGCATCACCAGGGAAGAAACCCAGCATCTGATGATGCCTATGTGTCCAACACTTCAGGCAGTCATTGACTGTAAAGGATTTGCAACCAAGTATTAAAACTGACTGTTTAATTGATGATTATGTTAGTTTGTCCAAATACTTATGAGCCCTTAAAGTCGGGGGACTGTGTGAAGAAATGCTTGTCATTCCTACACGGTTCATACTACATTTTTGAAAAAAGCCTTAAATGAAAGCTGAGAGTCTGCACTTTAAGCAGGTATTCATTGTTTCATTTAAAACCCATTGTGGTGGTGTACAGAGCCAAAATGACGACAACTGTATCATTGTCCAAATAATTATGGACCTGACTGTATGACCACCACTGATGATCAGCGTCGTTGTCTCCAGGTGAGATACAAACACAGAACACAGAGGGGTGAACACATCAAGCACAATCATCTTTTATTACATCTCCAAACAACAGTTATGTAAAACATAAACTCAAAGAGAGACAGTCTAATGGCTGTGGACGCGGCGGAAGGACCCCACAGTGGGGTTCATGGCTGCCCACTCGGTGTAGCGGCGGTACTCTCCTTTCTCCAGCAGGTACTGCCGTCCTCGGTAGTTGGGAAGCTCGTAGAAGACCCAGGCGCCTTCCTGCACCTGGGCGGAGTGAGTCTCGTGGAAGTGCCAGCGCTCGGGCAGGTTGCTCAAATCTTCACAGCACTCCAACATCCGACCGTTGAAGTCAGGACGCTCGTAGACACGAACCCTGAACGCACCAGTGCCCTGAAAGACAAAGAGCAGGAACTTAGTTCGCGTGTCAGTGTCATGTCAGCTTCATTAAAAGCATAGCTGCAAATTAACACAACAATAGATGTAAAAACACACAACAAGAGACAACACATCTGTGATCAGTCCCTAATTTAATTTTAACAATTTTTCCAAATTCTTTTCCTCTTTTTCAGTTTCTCGTTTTATTTTATGGAAGTGATCAGTGTAAGTGCACTTGTCCTTTAAACTTGATAAAAAATAAAAGCTAACAAAATAAAAGACACGTGGTACAGTCGTTACAGGCCTTGCGCTCTCTTCTCTTCTCTTCTTCAAACTACAACACCCATAATTCATGTAGGAACTGCTGCAGCCAATGTGCAGCCGGTGGGAGCTGCAGGACGTCTCAACCATCATGATCAGTTTTTAATGTTTTATCGGGAAATAACTACTCCAGACTCTGCTCTAGTGTCATTTTCAGGACAATTAAGGCAGGATTCGCGATTCAGGACAACTGCTTGGATTTCGGGACTGTCCTGAATTTTTCAGGACGTCTGGTCACCCTACACCTGACCAACACACTGACTGAAGCATTCTTGAGTGGTCTTGGAAGGAGGGAGGTTGGGGTGGTAGATGGGTCACATAACACAGGACTTTCTCCTGGAGACAGGTGTCTGACACCGTGAGGACTTTGAGTCATTTTAAGGTCATGTTTCTTTTTCCTAAATCTAACCTCCATGACTTTACATTAATTATGTGACCTTACGTTAAGGACGTCTTTACTTGGGCACTAATACATCAGACAATCAAATCATTCGCTCATCATTAATAAACTTTAAGCAATTCCTCAAGAACCAAGATAATGAGAAAAACTTCCCAGTAGGAAGACACCCTGAGGCCTGCATGCAGGATCTGGAGTTAGGAGGTAACTTCAGGCTTAACTCTGAGTTTCCACCAAGCTGGTTCTCCTTTTACCGGGATAAATCACATGGCGCTCCCCCGTGTGCGGCATCGCGGAGCTCTCCATAGTCAAGCTGCTTCTTCTCTTTGACTTTTGAAATCACCATGGTAACTGATGCTTAGCAGCTGACCTGATCACAGCCTGTCAGCACCCTGACTTCTGCCCAATCAGATCACTGAAGAAAAAAGTATCCTGACATGGACAAAAATCTGCAGCCTCAGGTAAAACAGAGGAGCTTATATAATGTTACAGGTCAGCAGAATATCTCGAACATTTCCACTGGTCTTAAAACAGCTTCTAACAAACACAGAGATCGTTCACACACTCAACACATGATTTTAACTCATGCAAAGTTTATTTTAGTCGCAGTGACAGTGTTGATATTTAACACTCTGATATTTAACACTCTGATTCATCACTGCAGCTCAAAATAACATGAGGCACCTGTGTGATGAGGACTGGGATAAAAAAAGTAAAATAATCCACACACTGTTAATCAGCTCCTGTTATTATGAATGTAACATTTCAGTCAGACAGACGTCAGACGTCAGTCATTAACGACTTTTCCACTCTTCACTTCAGAAACAGTTTGGCGTCACTTTAAAGTGTTTATATGACATGTTCATCGCCATCCAAATAAATAACAAAAAATACTTTATACTAATGTCACATGTAGCTCAGTGACACCTGCACGTCATTTAAGTCTCGGGTGACTAAGTTTTGGAGAGTGTTTTCAGTGTTTCTAGATTTCACGTCGTAGGATTACTGATGTTACTGTCTCACAGTCACAGACACTTTAGCTCCTTTTACACTGCCAGATTTTCGGCAAATGTTGAGCCGTTTTGCCGGCAAGCTGCGAGCGTTTAGACACACAGAGCCGGATTGGCGAGTTGATCCGAGGTGCCCAATTTTCCGCCTCGTAGGGTAGACATATTGGCGGAACCTTTTTGGTTTAAACAGACCGAGGTGACCTTCTGCAACAGGAGGGGCTGTTGATGACTTGTGGGAGGAGCTGTTGATGACGCTGCACGTGTGAGCCACTGGCGGTGGATAAACAGGAAACAGCTGATAGCAGGAATTAGCGAGCAGCTAGTAGCAAGAGGGAAACACAACCCTGACAGACACTGTAAAGATGAGCAACTGGGGAGACAAGGAATTGCGCGCCCTCCTTGTCCTCACAAACAAAGAGGCCATTAACCGTCAGATGACGGGACCGAGAGAATCACCGAAGGACTGACCAGCCGCGGCTTCCCTCCCACGTCACTGTTTATGTCACACACTGAGCTACATGTGCCCTGAAAAAGGCACATTCTGTATAAACAAAAGTAGGTAGGCGGCATTTTGCTGCACTCCCTGATTTTGTTTTTATACTGCCAATGCTGATTTGCACAATTCCTGTTTAAAAAGGGCTTTTCCGTACCGTTTCATATCATATCATATCATATGAAGCAGCTTCCTTCATTCATGCTTCTGATGATGTCACTTGTAATTAACAGCCCCGTCTCTTCCACATGACCTCACTCGTGGCTGATAGGAAAACCCAGAGTTGACTGAACTAGTTGATAACCAGCTTTGTAGGAGCAGTTTATCCAGACAGCCAATGTTAGATAACGAGCAAATATCCTGGGTAAGTTGAACTGGCTTTATAGTGCAGGCCTCTATACTCACAGAAATATAGAAAATGACCACGACCTCTAAACGCAGCATTATGTGGTGCTGCTCAGGATCGCTTCCTTCTTTGCAGCCATCAGCACACTGATCACGTGATTACTGCCATCCAGAACACATGGGTTACACAGGAATGGCTCATCATTATGTGGGATATGCACAAATTCTGTAGGAATACATGGTGCATGAGAACACGTTTATCTGCAGGAACTCACATTTCGTACGATGCGGCAGGACCTGATGCTGTCATTGTAGCCCATCCAGCGCTGGTAGTTCGCGTACTCCCCCTTGGTCAGGATGTACTGGTAACCCAGGTAGTTGGGCCTCTCGAACAGAACCCAGGCGCCGCTGTCCACACGAATGGAGTTGCAGTGGCTGATGTGGGTGTTGAGCTCGGGACAGTCAGCGGTGCACTCGTAAAATCGACCTTCGAAGTTACTTTCTTCGTAAAACACGATCTGGAAGAGGACGAAGGGTGATCTGAGTTTACGTTCAGTGTTTTATTTGAAGATAAAACAGAAAAAGTAAAACCAACTACAAGCTTTACTAAAAACTCTTCTTATCAAGTTATTCGTCTCTAGACTCTGGATATTGATATGAACATGGATAATAACACACCAAAATAATACCTATTATTTTCTTTATGTAAGGCTGCTGAGTGATATTCTAAACCAATATATATGATTTATTGCATAATATACCCAAAATAATGTAAATGCAAATACAAATTACGCAGCTGCGGCAATTTCAGGTACAACTTGAGTGTAAAGAGGCCAAAAACGACTGTAAATATCCACAAGAGCTTTTTTTACTCACAGTTCCAAGCTGAACAATCCACAGATATATGTAACTTTATCACAACTAGGCAGCTTTTACCACTGACTTCTACTGAAACTTAATTACAGGTATCTATAATTCAATCTTGGCACGTTAGACTCCCAAACCATCATGTCTATAATGTAATTTTGACAAATATCAGTTCTAATTAAAGATATCTATGATTCAGTTCAGTCAAAATGTGTTTTCTTAGGGCCTGTCCCATTTCTACGCCTTAAATCTTCCACTTGGTATTGAGTGCACTCGTTTTAGAGATAACCCTTGATGAGGGAAGTGAGAAATATTAAGGTAGAGATCTTTCCCTAAGAAATGGGACACCACTTCATCCTGCAGGCATATGTCACGCGTAGTAGCGACGCAATGAAACAGCCAGCTCCAGCACTTGTGTTGTGGCGTGTGCTATGTTTATTCTTCTCCGTCTGATGAATCAACGGAGAAGAAATGCTGAAAACAGGAGGCTCCTCGACGTCTTCTAGTTCTGATCGATTTTGTTCGGGTAAGTCGATTTGTGTAAATACTTTGACGAGTTGCTGATGAGTTTACGCTAGTCCAACCATCTGCTGTTTGTATAGCCTACATTCCGATCATACAGCAACAAATTGTTTCCCAAAACTTGCTGAAGTTGCTGACGTCATCTTCCACTTCATTGAAAGTGTGGGTCGGGGCCCCCTTGGAATCTAGGGCGGGTTTTAAGTGTTGGAAACCACTTCCACTACCTCAATTCTGTTTTGGGACACCACTAGCCTAAACGTGAACGCGCACAACCAAGTGCAAGTGTTTGTAGGGGAGGTGTGGGTGTTGGGACAGGCCCTTAATATCAATTAATTTCTTACTAGAAGAAATGTTCATGGCAGATGCAGCAATTTTACTCATAGAAATCTACAGTTCATTTCACACGAGTCAAAATGTTAATTCTTGATATCAACAATTAATACGTGGAAATGTTCATCACTTTTTTTTACTTAATTCAATCTATAATTCAATTCTGACATGATATAATTCCAAACCAACACATCCATAATGTCATATTGACTTGTCAAAACTGATTTATTGATATCTTCGTTTTAATCATAGATATCGGTCATTTGTTTTGTAGTTATAAGAACAACGATTGCAGATATTAACAACTGAATTACGACATGCTGAAAAAGGACTGCAAATAGAAATATGATGATCTATTTCACATTTCAACAACTGCATGTTCGATATGTCAGACATCAACATACCACTTTGTTACTGCTACAGAATAAGACTGAGGGTTGGGGTGACTCAGCAGTCTGAGCTCGCAGGTTAGATCATCAGTTAATCACATGAGGGCAGCTGCAAACAAGTGCTCCAGGTTTCAACTGCCAGCCAAACCCAGCCTGCACGCCAGGTAAGATGCTACATGCTAACAACTACGCTCTACTCAACGACTTCATGGTGGAAGCAGAAAATGGCGTCCGACAGCAGAGAGGGCGAGTAATGATGAAGAAGATGAAGATCTGTGAGAGGTAATGACACGGTGACCGCTCTGCTGCCGTGTGTCAGTCCTGGATCATCAGAGGTTTTCTTTAAATACTTAGATTTGTGGAGACGACCTTGTTTAATGTTCAGTCTGTTTTTAAGATGGTGCATTTACTTGCACTATTACTTACAATACTTCATTACATTTAATATAATACAGTTTCTTTTGTTACTTAGCACAGTTAATCTCAGACACTTTATGACTCAAGCAAGGTGACTTTAACGTCTACCAAAGTCATTTTCTGGTAAGAAATCTGTTCTTTGCTTTCAGGCACCGACCAGTGACGACTAAACTTGTCAGCCCTAGTTATTAAATCTTAAAAGAAGAAAACTTTATTGCGACTGACGCTGGAGTTTCGACCTCGACAGTCGGTCACATGCTTCATCTGCTCGTCTGCTTACCTTTCCCACACGTTCCATGTTTGGGCCTCACACCTACTTTTGATGTCTGTTTGTTAATCCCACCTTTCACATACACAATATTGTCTACCGGTCTGGTCCAGATTTATATATACAGTGTATGTGTGCACACTGAAACGCACTGCCAGGACCATCATTGTCATTTTAATTGCCTCAGCATTTATATGTGTGCAAAGGCTGATGCTGCAAGTGTTTAAAAAAATGCTGTGCTTTATACAGTGTTTATTCACAGCAGCTGACCTTTTGATCGGCCGATGCCTGATTCCAGAAAACATTTATTGATCCAATTAAATTGTCTCCTCTGCAGCTGAAGCTGAGGCTGATGCTCTGAAGTTGGCTTATGGCCACACGCTGCTCTGGTGCAGGCTTTAACATCTGTGTTACATGTGTATCCATCCACACCTCAGCACACGGTCAGCTGAGCTCTGACTGGACGGCTCATTATTCTGTATTCAGCCATCAAGCTGCAGGATTCGTCACCAGAGACTGAAGACGTTATTCTCGCTACTTCAGTCCTGTCAGATTGTGATCGATGATTCAGAGTTGGCTTACTTCATTGTGCAAGTAGAGCACAATCAGTGCGCTTCATTAATCCACAGCTCAGCCCACAATAACATGCATCAACAACTATGATGAGAAATGTTTTGTTTGTACAAACAGTACAGAAGACATTTGATATTTCCAGCTCCTCAAATGTGAGGATTTGCTGCCTTTCATTAAACAAACAGCCAGTCATGTATCAGTGTAAAATCTGACAAGTTGATCTAACTTTAAAAAGAAAAGAAAAAAAATTGCCTTGAAAAAGTGATCACACATAACTATCAGTTTAGACTAACATAGCTTTTGAGTTAGTTTTCTCTACGAGTAAATGTAAGTAAGTAAAGACAAAAAAAATGTTTACTGCCAGTGAAATAAGAAATAATTATGACTGAAGACTAAATTAAAAGAAGAAGCAATTTGGTCAATCTGCTTATTTCCTGTCGTCACCTGCAGCACGTCATGAGGACTGACATCACTGCACGGAACATGTGCTTTTGAATGAGATTAAAAATATTTATGTGCACTTTATAAGTAAGCATAAGTGAGTAAAGACAAAAAACAATAGCTTACTCTATAAGTAATTATAACTGAAGGCTAATTGGTATCTTTACTTTATTGGTAAACCTAACTTCAAACTAATTATGTTGACTTCACAAGTCAACTAAACTAAATGTTATGTTGTGCATGGTTATGTCGACTTCACAAGTAAACAGGTAAATAAAGACAAAAAACATCACAGTTGTGATTACTTTATCGGTACATAAGTAATTAGATACAAAAAAAACAGTTAAGTTAGGTTAACTCATAAAGTAATCTGAAGACTAATTGTTTTATTCACTTATGAAGTAAACATAATTTAAGACTAACAGATATATGTACATATATACTAACCTTTTTCAAAGCAGTTGGTTTTCTAGATTATTTAAGTGAGATGATGCATCACAGTAAATTCAGTCTCTTTGGGTTTTGGTCAAACAAAAGACATCATGGCATTTTACATGGCTTCTCTGACCAAATGATTATTTGAGAGAGTATTTAGCAGATTTTGTTGCAGCTTTGTGCACAAGTAGTTCATAAGTTGTACCACTACTCAGGCAGGAATCCTTCAGCTTTGTGAGAACTTGTAAAACAAAACCAGGGCTGACTGTGTGTGTTGATGTGTTGAAGAAATTTAATTCATTTATCTTGTCAGGGTGAATCCACTGGTTTGAGACAAACGCTTCAGTATTTGTAGTCGGGCAGAAATCTGCCAGTTTTCCTCGATCTGTGTGCAGACATTTCTTTTCAATATTTGTGTCTCACAAACTGCATCCTGCACAGTGACCCTGAAGCTGACTCAACATCTGTCAGATAGTTTCAGTACAAACTGAACATCATAATCTGGCTATAAGGAGGGTTTATTGCAGGGTTGTTGTATTAAACTGTGTTATTTTGGCTTCAGTGTGGCTATACATATATACATGATATACATTTTCCTTAAATCTTTAGCATACAGAATAATATACACTGAATAATGATGCACTGTATGGCCAACATTGATATGTATTGTTATTTCTTTACATTATGGATCAGAGCAGATCTGAATTAAACTTCACACAGACACAAACTTTAGCATCAGATACATTTATTGCATTTATTATAAGAAACTTGAGCTGGTTGAGATCACAGCTCCATGATCCTTCTGATGGAGCCCACCAATGATTTCAGAGCTCCCCACTCCGAGTGGTGTCGGTACTCTCCTTTCTCCAGCAGGTACTGCCGACCACAGAAGTTGGGGTGTTCATAGAAAATCCAGGAGCCCTCCAGGACTTTGCAGGACTGAACTTCTTGCCTGACCCATTTGTCCTGGATAGACTTTGAGTTTTCTGTCAGCTCCAAGGACTCCCCGCTGAAGTCTGGCCGATCGTACAGCCTCAGCTTGCACGGCCCTTTGGCCTGAAACCACAGCAGTCAAAGACGTGATGCATGACGAAGAACAACAGGTTTATTTTTATTTGTTTTCATCATGGCACTGTGAGGACTTACATTTTTGATGATCCTGCAGGATCTGACACAGTCATTGAAGCCCATCCAGCGCTGGTAGTCATTGTACTCCCCTGGCCCGATGACATACTGGTAGCCCGTGTAGTTGTTACGCTCGTACAGAACCCACCAGCCACCCTCCACCTTCACCGAGTTGCATCGGTGGATGAAGGCCTGCAGGTCGGCTGAGTCTCCTTTGCAGTCGTAGGACTTCCCTGCGAAGTCCCGGTCCTCGTAGAATACAATCTAAACAGAACAGATACGTGCAAGATTATTCATGTGTAAATACAAAGTGAGTTTCATCTGCATTAAATTCTCACAGACAACATCTGACGTCTACGCTCCTTGCGCCAAATCTGGAGAGTTATCAGCTCGTGCAGCCACAAGACCACATTCAGGACCCTGCACTCACCTTCTCCATCTGTAGCTCTTAAAAAACTAGATGGCGTAACAAACGCAGTACTCTTTATACATGGCAGAGACAATACTACCAAATGCATGGTTAGCAGTGCCTGTAACAGTTATTACAATTGAAATATTCATCTAGAGTCTGCCCATTGTTCTTACTCACTGAATTGCCTGTCCACACACAATGCTTGTTTAGCAGTGCCAAGTACCAAACCTCAGTCCCGGCTCAGTCCAAGCTGATCTGGACCGCTGCAATAAATGTCTTTTGTTTATGCAATTTGATGTAAAGCTTTATGTGAGCTGTCGACTCGGAGCTGCTGTCTATTAACAGAAGGTGCTGGGCAAATAAATACGATCAACCTTAGCCTTTATTTATTTTCTACATCACTGAGTGTGAGATATCGCCAAACAAGCAGTGAGATATTACTGACATGAATTAAACATGCAGGAATACACATGGCTCATAAGATGTTTATTAACACAATAATTGTTTAAACTGCAGACACTGGTAACAAATCAACCCAACTGGGCTTTCCTCATGCACTGTTTACCTATGAAACATAACGCACCAACATTTGTACATATCCCACGTAATCATGAGCCAGTAATGAGCGTATAATCCACATATTTGGGAAGGCTGCAGTCACGTGACCAAAAGAAGGAAGGCTGGGGCGGTGGATGAGTCACAAAACATGGGACGTTCCCAAGCGTTCAGAAACTAACTGAACTTTGAGTGATTTTAAGCGTCTCTTTTCATAAACCTGACTGATGCAACTTTATGTTAAATGCATAATTTATGTAAAGTACATAAGGTCAACTGTGGGGCGCTAATTCTTCAGATAACAAACTCCTGCAAACCTGCAGGCCTACATACACTGTTGTATGAGAATACGTTGAACCAAACGCCCGAAAAAAAATGTTGCTGAATGAATGAATGAATGAATGAAATCTTATTTTCACAACAATACATTTTCAGGTGCCATCACACCAACATAAAATAGTAAACATGACATATACGCAAGCTGCAAGTAAAGATCAATAAAAATAAATAAAACAAAATAAAATAAAAAGGACAATCTTTAGAGCCACGATCTATCTGTGTGCATAAGTTGCTTGCTTTCTTCTATTCCACGCTTTATGGATATAATTGGATATTGCAAATATATGATTATCAAATAACCATTTAATTATTTGGTAATCCTGGGACAGACCTACATGTGTTGATACTTTGTTACCCCCCACATCCACTCTCTATCTGTGGCTATAGAGATGTTGAAGCCCATGCTCCTGAAGCAGATCATACATCTCTGACGCCCATTCTCCTTCCACTGAGAGATCCCACATGAAAATCTTCTTCGCCATTCTATCATCCGGTAGATCAAGCATTCTGTTCCACAAGTTAATCATATTTACCTTCCACCTGACTTCACACGGTACCCATCCCATGTCACCGTTAACGGCAGATATAGGGACAAATTTATGGACACCTAGAAAGTATCTTTGTGCCCTATTGTGCACACTTACACTTTTATTATAGTGTCTAAACCCCCACACTCCAGAGGAGTAGTCCAGAATAGGACAGACACATGCTTGATACAACTGGCTATATGTAGCATAACCCATATTTCTTATGTCTTAGTTTTCCCAATGATACCTCCTAAAGCTCTGCTACTGTGCATTTATGCAAACTCTGGATACATTACATTTTCACGTACATTTTTCATGTTTTGGGTTAAAATACCAGGTAAACGCAGCAATGTCTTGGTAAAGAAACACAACTGCTTTCCCAGCAGGAAACACAGTGATGTCTCAACTGCTCTTCATGGAACTGTCCCCAGTGGAAACACAGCAACACATCACCTAGTAACAACCAGGTTGGTTATTCTTATAGTCTCAAACTGTGTCTGCAGCTAACATGCCAACATCTTCTTATGGTGACTGGGCTGAACATAAACTGATCCTTTTTTCCCTTTTGGTCATATTAAAGCCGCTACAAGGAACTTTTAACTGGATATGCAAAAGTCTCTGGTTTCTGCTGATGTCTGTGTGTGACCTACAACAGAAAATGAGACCATCGGTGTGAAGATAAGCTATTTCTATATAGTGTATATCCATACCTTTAGGAAACTGTCTCCGGGTCCGCCCCAGGTCGCTTCCAGGACGAAACGATTTACGGCACTCAAACAGCACACGTCATCTTACCTAGCTGCTTACATTTATAGTGACTCTTATAAATAGTCGCTATTCCTCCTCCTCGACCCAACATCCGCGGGGAGTTAAAATAGCAGCAATCATCAGGTAAAAGTTCTGTGAAAGCACTGGACTCACCAACAGTCAGCCACGTCTCAGTCACACAGAGAAAAGTTTTCCATCTTGTTGTTTCATTCATCCCTAAAACAAACACAGGTGCGAGCCAGGTAAGCATCTTTACGACAGTACGTGCTAGAGCTCATGGGAAATGTAAGCTTCATTCCGGCAAAACACTACCGCTTTTGTCAACAGGGTCGGCAAAATCAACTCAAAATGAAAGTTCCTATAGGGGGCTTCAAACAATTTTGGAATCGATAAAACTAAAATGCTTTCCAGTAGAAAAATAAAATCAATTATAAAATTGAAAGTTCTTAAACGGTGTCAGAAATTGACACAATTTATTTTATTTTGTTCTTTTGTGCAGCCATTTATTTCTGTGCTCAGTTTGGGGTTGTGAACAGGTTTGATAGTTCTGTGTTGATGGGACGATTTGGAACGCAGAAACATCTGAAACTGTCGTCTTCTACTTTGCAGAAATAATATGCAGCAGGAATTCTCAATCCGCTGCATACAGTTTTATTAAACAAAGATTCACATAAACACAGAAAATACTGTCTCTGGTCTGTGAACTATTTAAACGAGTTTTGACCCTGCCAAATTTATAAAGTGTTTAATCATAAAACATCAGCCCACCTTTTTGGGCAACTGAAAATATGTCTAAATGTCACTGATATAAAATTAAATATGAATCCTTACTCACAGACAAAATGAGCATCTCTGCCAGTCAGCCTGGATTCGTCCCAGTAAGCAGTGAATTGGTTGTAGTGGTTGCGATGATACTATCAAATTATATATAATAAACAGGTAAACAATAATCATCATTTTTATTCTACTGTGTGTTAAACAAGGTCTTTTCTGTACCTGAATGTGGAACATTGTGAAGTAAGTCAGGACCTGCACCAACATCCTCACTGTCAACGTGTTGATGTTGAAATGTTTTACCTGTTAATGTTGCAATCGTCTCAGCTGTGGGAGGAATGAAGGATTATCTCTATCTCTTAATGTCTAATTTTCATTAGTTGTCTCGTCCTGTCAAAGTTTCTTACTGTATAACACAGCTGATGTTCAAAGGTGGGTAAGTCTTCGACTGAATGTATTAGTGAGTATTTTGTAATAAATATTTTGCCACAAAAAGGATGTAATTCGTGACAAAGTAATTTAACAGCTTGTGTTTGTGTGTTTAAAATACTTAAAATACAATGCTGACTTTGACTGAGAGAGACCACTTTGCAGGCGCCCCTGAAGTCGCAACCTTCCACCTCCAAGATCTCCTGATTGATCCACTCCACATTTATGATGTGGGAATTTGGCAGAGCTCCTCATTTGGGGGATTAAAGTCAGATTCATATTGATTATATGAGTTTGAACACATGAACACTTTTTCTCATGCCAGTATTTTGTGTTTTAAAGTCACGTGCACTGAAATTTTAGAATTAACTTTATTCAGAAAATATTTAGTGACGGGAGCGGGGTTATAATTTAAGAGGAGAATTTAATTTTAAAAAACAGTGTGGTCATACAACAAAGAGGAGTGTGTGTGTTTCAGTGTGTGGGGTGGACGTGAGGAAGGAGTTGAAACAAAGCACAGATATAAGTCAATTTGAAAAACTATACTAAAAGATATTTTTGGCAGATATATAGACGAGGAAAGGTGTGTTAGAGTGGAGCATATTTATTCTGTAACACAGGGTGGCACTTGGACTGTGAATAAACTGGGCTTATTACTTATGTATTGAACTGGGTGGCAAACAGACTGGGGATAGTCGTATGTTAGTTGGCAATAAAAAAATCAGGAATTTGTTGAAGTAATAAATGTGTTAAAAGAAGAAATGTAAGAAAGGGGCAGGGACATATAAGTTTTACCTCTACCTACTCCTTTTTGGTTCTAAATAAAGTTCATTCATTTTATTTTGAAACATTTGATGAGAAAGTATTTTAAATTCTATAAACTTTATAGAAAGTTTGTGCCCATCTCTGCTGATCTAACGTCAGTCTGTCATGAGATGTAAACTGTACTGAACAATGTTTACTGGAGGACGCTAGAGGACAAACTAAAAACCGTTAAGTAACGTAATGAGACAGAGCACAGGCAGCACTGCTGTGGGTAAGAAATACTTTTATTTATTTGAGTGCAGCGCTCAGGGTTCTGGGGAGAAGGACAGATGTCTGAATGGAAGAAGCAAGTGGGAGGCTGAAGGGCTCTGGAATCGTAGCCTTCCTGAACTCCGAACTTTTGGAGGGGTTCTTGAACTTCCTCAAGATTCTGGAACGTTAGGACTCTGGAACGTTGGTTGCCTTTGGGCTGCTGTGGAACCTTGTGTTACATTTCTGGAGCATTCAGGTGACTGTGTTAGGGGCTGCAGAACCCTGCGTGGTTGCTGCTGTTCTAGAACTCTGTGATCATGCGGAAGGATCCAACAGCAGGGGAGGTGGCGCCCCAGTCTGTATAGTTGCGGTACTCGCCACGTTCCAGGAAGTACTGGTGTCCGTGGTAGTTGGGCTGATCGTAGAGGACCCACGCACCATCCATAACCACAGAGGAGTGGACTTCCCGGAACTTGAAGGCCTCGTAAATCGATGGGCAATCCTCAACGCACTCTGCCGCCTGTCCTTGGAAATCCTTCTTTTCGTAGAACAGGATCTTCCAGGACTTTCCATACACCTTGAAAGAGTCAGAGAATAAAAAGTTGATGAAATCATGTCAGTGTTTGGTGTCTGAATCCTCTGACCTATTTCTGTTCCCTCAGTCACTTTGAGCTCACATCTACAAATGGGCTTCTTGGCTGTTTTCCTAGTTTCCTTCAATAACTGATGTGCAAGGGCACGGACATAAAGCACCCTGCTGCCAAATCATGAGCCTTTTATCTCCTTTTTCTCTGTTGGCCTTTGACTGATTATTGCTTGGTTGGCGCACTCTGTGGTATTTGACTGGAGCTGGGCACTGCCTCGCAAAACATTAACCCAAAAAGTTTTAAAATCATGCTGTGTCCTCAATTTTATGTAAACTACTAAATAATGAGACGTAATGTTTTAGCTAATCTGCAGCTTGGTGCAGTGAGTTTATCCCAGCTCGATGAAACTGGTGCTTTGATAATATCATGATATAAATACAACAGTGATTGCCAAAGGATGATTTTCAAATCTTTGCTACCTTTTGGTTACGTTCTTAAAAGCATCTAAGGAGCTTACGTTGTTGATACAGCGACATGACTTGATGCTATCATTGAATCCCATCCACTGCTGGTGATCAGGGTATTCCCCGGGGCTCAGGACGTACTGGTTGCCAGTGTAGTTGGGATGCTCGTACAGTACCCAGCAGCCACTTTCCACCTTAATGGAGTTGCAACGGCTGAAGTAAGAGCGCAGGTCCGGACAGTCCGCGCTGCACGTGTGGCATCGCCCTTGGAAATTCTTATCCTCGAAGAACGCAATCTGGACGGAAGGAAACAGACACATCCTGGTAAACTCAACAACAGCATATTGTCGCGCCTGGCTGCCATTAAAATGACAACAAACTAGACAGAAGACGGTTTGCATGCGCTGCAGTTACTGCCTGAAAGATCTTGAAACCCTTTAGAGGACAGCGTTTGCTCCTTACCTTCCCCATTGTTAATGATATTGCTTGCCTCCCACCCAGCTGCAGCTGTGTTGTGGTTTATATCGAAATGCAGAATGTGCAGACGAGGGAAAGCTTTTGTCATCTAAATGAGCCTGATTTGCATATCAGCAAAATGGTTTGGTCAAGTTTGATTTCCCCTTGTCCACATGTGATGGCCTCTTAGCAAAGAATTGCTAAAACTAACATGTCCAACTTATAAAGTCCAACAGCCATCATGATGATTGTGTGAATCGTCTCCATTGAGTTCTTCCCTGTAAAATGGCTGTTTACTTGGTTTTTATCTGCAGTTATTTTTTTGTTTGACAGGAAATTATCTGGTGAATTGTCTTCGTTTTGTTGCCTTACAGGATAAGATCAGAGGGTATCATCATTACTCTTGGATGATGGGTGGCAGCAGCAAACTTTACAACTGTGATATCTTGTCTCGTCTTTTACTTTCTTCAGGAGACCAGTCGGCTGAACAAGTCGTTGGTTGCACTGTCAGTTAAGTAATAGCATGCATGACATGACAGGACTCCTGGGTCGAAACGAATTCTGAAAACATATGAAATGCAATTACGTAACATCTCTTCCATCACACCAACAATCCTTTTCCACACTGACGGTGACACTTCCTCCTCAGACATGAACTCACAGCTCAGATCTTACAGCAGGAGCAGCACAGGCGCAGCTAATGACGATAACGATGGCCTCGTCAGCTGGAGCGCAGCCATGATTACTGTTTTCAGTTACGCCTGTGTTTGACACGTCCAGAAGTCTGCAGTGAACCAATCTAGTTTAGACGAGTCATTCAAAAAAGATTTATTGTTTCTAGGGAATTTTGTTTGGTTGACAGCGAAGGAAACGTGACGTAGAGTGAGAGGCGATGTCATGATTTTAACATAGTGCTACTGTATGTTGTGGTTTAACTGGAAGACCTGGAAGTCCACTGGGACTCCAGGATGCACCATAAAGCTTTTGCACGTTAGTTAGTAGGCACATTAAACCCCAGCCAGCTTCAGTCCCATTTATGTTACTGAGTTGTGCCCACTGCACATGAACTCATGGCTTCACAGGATTAGCTGGATGCATTTTTGTGTATTTCTTTCAACAGGCCAAGTTCATCACAGCTGGAAGTATTCTGAGTATTAGGATCTAAATTAACATCGTAGTGTAAATCTATACGACCAGTTTGACATAAAATGCCTCGTCATTCTTTGCCTCACTTTTAAAGTCTTATCTTTGGTCTCATCTCCTATCTTTTATCTCTCGTGTTTAAAAATTTTACTTTTTATTGTTGTAACTCGTGATTTTTTTCTGCACTGTTTTAATGCTGCTCTGTGAATCACTTTGGGCAGCGTGACTGTATGAATGGTGTCATATAAATAAAGTTGGATTGGACTGAAAAACTTTATACGTGTTGTTATTTAAGTCGTCACATTTGATTTGGTTCATTTCAGATCCATTCAATTCAAAACACACTCCACAGAAAAGTGTTTTACAGTCATGACAAAAGGTTTTAACACAATAAACATAATGTTCATTTTAAAATGCTAAATAAAGCCAAACAGTGACACTGACCGTATAGTAAGTTCCTTCAAACCTGGCTCCTAAACTCAGAGTAAATGAAGACGTACATGCAGATATTCGTTACTGTTTAGTGATGAAATGAGTGTTGGCTGAATTCCACTCAGCTGCTTCAGTTTCAGGGTGCTGGTTTTGTGCGTGCTGGCTCACTGTCCTCACTGGGCCAGCTGAACTCAGTAGAGCCATCGTTAATGTTTATTAGTAACAACTGCTTTCACAAGTCAAAATGTCTGATTTAAAAAAGCGTACAAAAGAAGTAAAAGAAATAATATATATATATATATATATATATATATAATAAGCCCCACTATAAAACGACTGTGTTAAAATTACTCCTAACAGCCTGCTGCAGATTTTATGAGTCGCTTTAGATACATGTCACAGGCATTAAAATGAACAAACACAGATATTACTGAGATTAAAAAAATATATTTCTGGGCATCCCTTTGGGATGAGTGTTTGTATCAGGGGATCAGAAATAAACAAAAACTGTTCACTAAAATATTTAAATTTTTCCAAACAGGCTTGAGCACAAAGCTCTGGAACATTCACAAAAACACAACATTCCAAATGTGTATTAAATGTGACTTGTAGTTATTTGTAAAGTGTCATCTCTGTTCTTAAGACATCCGTAATCTGAGCTCGTGACGCATTCAAGCAAAACATGAAAAACCCATCCAGACATTCGGCTCAAGCTGCGATCTAACGCCGTTTTTTTTCCTCGTCACTCTGATCGTCTCCTGTCTGAGAAATGTATAAACTGCAGCCCAGTTCTTCCCACTCCTCTCCTGCCTTGTGTCTTCCACCCATTTCCCCTCCCTTTGTTCTGGATCATGATGGCACAAATGAAATTAACAGAGATCGCAGAGCTGCTTATTCATCAGCTTCCAGATAATTTGAATAACAAAACCCTGTTACAGCGCGTTTAAAGTATAAAAGCCGCCTGGCAGCCACAGGTTGTTGGACAGATTCCCACAAACACAGATCATCAAACATGGGCAAGGTATGTGGAGAGTAGAGCAGGAAACAAACACGTTTTAGTTTGGGCAGAGTGAACAAGTGGACAAACAGATAAAAGAGGGGGACAGTGCAATGGTATATTTATAAAAGTTAAACTTCAGGCCTGCTCTAAATCGGTTTGTGCTGTTTCTCTTTCCCACAGATCATCTTCTACGAGGACAGGAACTTCCAAGGTCGCTCCTATGAGTGCATGAGCGACTGCTCTGACATGTCCTCCTACCTGAGCAGGTGTACTTCCTGCAGGGTGGAGAGCGGCTGCTTCATGGTCTACGACCGCCCCAACTACATGGGAAACCAGTACTTCCTGAGGAGAGGAGAGTACTCTGACTACATGTCTATGGGCATGAGTGACTCGATCCGCTCCTGCCGTTTGATTCCTCAGGTATGCAAAGATTTGGAAAAGATAAACATGATTCTAAAGGAGTAATCTTTCATGTTGGATTGAGTCAGAGTTGTCTGGTGAGCTGCTAGCTTGATTTATTCTCCTGCTGTGCTGTTAGAAAGTGAGTATCTGATGTGACTGTGAGTTCTGGCATGGTAAAGTCCTTCAGTGCTGACACGTCCTCCTCTCTGTGTCCCCCAACAGCACAGAGGCTCTTACAGGATGAGGATCTACGAGAGGGAGAACTTCCAGGGCCTGAGTCATGAGCTGATGGACGACTGCGAAAACTTCCAGGACCGCTACCGCATGTCCGACTGCCAGTCCTGCAACGTGATGGACGGCCACTGGCTGATGTACGAGCAGCCCCACTACAGAGGCAGGATGATATACCTGAGGCCAGGAGAGTACAGGAGCATGAGAGATGTGGGATACAGCGGCATGAGGCTCAGCTCCGCCAGGCGTATAATGGATTCCTGTTGAAGCAGAGAAACAGAAAAATGTGGTTGAATAAAATCAGAGAGGAATCAAACGTCAGCTGGTCGTCGTTGTCTTTTATCAAAAAGAGGGTGGGCTTTGTGTTAGGTGTGTGTGTGCGTGTGCGTGTGTGTGTGTGTGTGTGTGTGTGTGTGTGTGTGTGTGTGTGTGTGTGCGTGAGGGTCAAAGCTGCATGACTGGTGTTTAAAGTGCATCATTCATCCAGCTCAGTCACACACTGTACGGCAGTATTACAGCTTTAATGTGCACACACCAAATTACACATCTGCTGAACAGCATGCCAGAGAGGTACAGATATACAACTACAGAAAAGATGCAAACATACATGCAAGTATTTTTATCGTTTCAGTTACTCTGCAGTGATCGTAACTCAGATGATCGTACATTCTATAACTGATGTAAATTTTGTTTTATATCCTTTTCATTCTCATACCATACAGTGACATATTAGTGCAAAACAACATACGATCTGTTCTTTTAATCCACATCCAAACACAGATGAATGTTCAGCTCATTGCACTGACCACACGTACTACACAGGCAGCTGCTGTCTATACTGTACCACGCTGTCACTGTGCAGTCACGCTGCTCTGATCTGCAGGGAAGTTTCTAGAGTAACACAAAAAAACTCTCAAAGGGGACCTCCACCAGTGTTACACAAAGTCCCGTTCACGTACTTTCCTTTGTGGCCCTGAAAATAACTCCCAGGGTTCCACAGTCCAGGACAACCTGGAAGAGTCTTGGAATTAGTAAAAACTCACTGAAAGTTTTGGAATTTTGCTGTGAAATAAATCCTCTGTGGATAATCTTCCACATAATGTAACATCACAGCAAATTCATATTACAGACGCAACACGTTCTCACTGCGACCTCATCGAGATACAGTGAGGTCAAGACTTTCCACGTCCACATATGACGTCCAAGGTACCCTGGGTGTGTTGGTTGTTGACGTTCTGGGACGCCATGTCAACTTCAGCCTGTTACATGCATTGTCTGTCTTCAAAATACACTTCTGTTTTCACAGGAAATGTACAGTTTGCATACAGTCTCTTTCAAAATAAAAGCACTACGTCGCTACAACACCACCACAACACATGCACATGGTTGGGTTTAGGACAAAAGAGCAGGGTTTGGCTTCATAGTCTTACAGGAAGTAAACACCGGCCTCCTGGGTGAAAGCTGATGGTTGTTGGACCCATCCACCTCCCCCCCCTCCTGCTCTCCATACTCTGACTTCTGCCACCTTGATTTTTGTTATTGTCCCACACATTTCCTCCTGACGCCACTGTTGAATAATAACGGCGCCTGGTGGTGTATCATGCTGACATGAAAAAAAGGCATTTTTTTCATCTGTGTTTGACGCTGGAAGTCACGACCAAGTGCTGGATTTCGACGACTTCAGAGTGAGACCGGGTTGGCCAGTGTAATGTAGCTCCAATACGTGTCAATGTGTGACATTTTATTCTCAAATATTTCTTTATTATTTTTTCCCTCCATGTTCGCAAGCTAGCTGAAATTATGTTTAAATGGAGTTTGAATCTGATATGTCTGAAAAACGTCAGG